TAAAGGGGCATAGTGGAGCTAAATTCTGGGGTGATGGAAATATTCTGTAGCAATAGCATTGTCTTGGGTGGTGGCTACACGAGTGTGTGCAATTATCAAAACTCATTGAACTGAATATTTAAGATCTGTGGCATTTTTTGAATGCAAATTATGCCATACATGCAAAATAAATTGGGTCACATGGCTAACTCTGAACCAATCAGAGACAAGGAAGTAGGGCTATGCTGATTGGCTTACAAGGCCCCTCACTAAAGTAGGCACAAGAATCAGCTTCCACCAAAGCAAAGGAAGTTACCAAAAGGGGGAGCATGGGCATGGTTGGCAACTATGCTTGGCTCCTATCACAAAGAGACCCAAAATAACAGTGGCTTAAGCAATTTAGACATTTATTTCTCTTTCAAATAAGAGCTTGACACTGGGGATGGAAGGGTGATCTCTGCTTCAAGAAAGCATCAAGGTCCCACGTGCCATACTCACCACTGGTCTCCCATGCCATGCCCAAGATGGCTGCTCCACCAACAGGAAAGAGGATTCCTTCCCATTATGGGACCTAGAAGTTACATGTATTATTTTGGCTAATATCCTTTTGGCCAGAATTCAGTCAGATGACCACTACAAGGAAGATTGGGAAATGTTGTTTTTAATCTGGGTGGCAATGTGCCCAGCTAAAACTCTATTACTCTAGAAGATGGGGAGAACGGATAATGGCAGACGAATACAATCTCTGCCGTTAGCAGCCATCATGATATCTTCTAGAGACTGGTAGCGTAATGCGTGTGTAAGAGGGTTTAAGAGAGAGTTTAAGGGTTTGCAGTCAAATTGCATGGGTTCAGATTCTGACTCTACCTCCTATTGTATGACCATGGACGAATTACTTCACTTCTTTTTGCTTGATCAAGCCTTCTTACCTCTCTGGTATCATCTAATTCCAATGAAAATAAAACAGTTTCACTTGGTGGAAAATGGAGGTAACGGTCCCATACAGAGGTTGTGAGAATTAAGTGAATTAATGCAGGTAAAGTGTTTGGAATAGTGTCTGACACAAAGTGTTCAAAAGTGTTAATAGTGTTGTTTTTATTATTTCACAGGCATAAATACTGCAGAAGTTAAGATTTGCCTGGTAGAAATTGAGGAGGGGATGGAGAGAGAGAGAAGGAAAAAGAGAGCACAAACCTGACTTCATTTTGCTTAAACTAATTTGAGATAAAAAGGAAATTTTAATGACTCATTTAATAAAACTTTTTGCATGATGGTGTGCAGCTGGTCTCACGAGTACTGGAACCAGGGAAATGAATGCCAAGAAGACTCTCTCTTGATCCATCTCTTAACTGTACCTCTCCCCTGTGTCAGTTTTATTCCCACCTTCTCTAGATACTTTCTTCCCTGAGCTATATAGGGGTCAGGGTGAGGAAACGGCCACGGACAGCACCTATAGGAAGGCACTGTTCCTTCACAGCCGCACCACCCAAAAGGAAAAGGCTTCTTGCCATCAAGCTCCAGATTCAAAAACCCAAGGAAGGGCTTTCATTGGCTCAGTCTACTTTCTGTTTCAAGTGGGGCATAATGATTGGCCCAGCTTGACTCATTTCCCCATCCCTCAGCCAATCACCGTGGTGGGGAGGAGGACACATAAAAAATGTCAGCTCCTATTTTAAACAAGGAGGGTGTTATCTGAACTTCAGTAAACAGTGTCACCTAAACTTCCCATCAATTATTTTTCCTCCTAGGCCTGGAACCCCGGAATAAGGAATGAAAGCCAGGTCGTGTAAGAGATGACAAGAGAATGGTTGGCAAGTATGGTCTCCCCAGGCAAGCACAAATCCCTGCATACAGAAGGCGCCCAAATAATGCTTATTGAATGAACGACTGAATTAACACCGTGTTCCCAGAAGCTGTCCTGGGTCGGCTCAATTTCATAGACCCTTAGTAGATCAACAATGAAGTGGGTACAGGGGCCCCGCACACTAGTAGAGCGCGTCTTAGGACGCAGACACATACTCCGGGAGGGCGGGAAGCTTTAGGCATCGGGCAGAACCTTGAAGACCCCGCCATCTCCCAGGGCCCAGTTGGGGGCGGGGCTTCTAGACCCCAGCATTTTGGATTAAACCATCTTCCATCTGTTAACAGGGAGAGCCGAGAAAGTCCTTCTGCCTCTTTCCCAGGCCTTTTACCACTCCCCAGCCACCAAGACAATGTATTTGCTTCTCTAACAGCCACAAGGTTTCTCCTTTCGCCTCCTTAAGCCTCAGAGCTCCACGCAGCCACACATTGGAGGCTTCCCCACCACCACCTCGCGGTGGCTCGCCCCAGTTTGACGCATTGCAGGGAAGGCCGAACCAATCGGCGCCGCGCTCTCATTTCTGCCATGGGCCGGGCCCAATAGCGGCGCGGCTCACAGAGGGACGCGTCACGCGCCGCCGACCAGTGCCCCTCCGCCGGGGAGGAAAGTGGAGTGGGCACAGGGGGCGGGGCGCGCGGCGACAGAAAGTAGTCCTACGGCGAGAGAGCGCGCGCGGGCGCGCGTCCGGCGGCAAATCCGGGCCCTGTGCGGGGTGGGGACAAGAGATCCGCGGGCCCGCGGCCGCGGAGCGGGGCGCGGAGGGATCCCTGGGAGCCGCAGTGCGGCGGCGCGCGGGCCGGGCGAGGCGGGGCGCGCGCGGCGGCCGTTGAGGGACCGTTGGGGCGGGCGGCGGCGGCGGCGACGCGCGCTGCGGGCAGTGAGTGTGGAGGCGCGGACGCGCGGCGGAGCTCGAGCTGCTGCAGCTGCTGCCGCCGCCGGAGAAACCTTGATCCCCGTGCTCCGGACAACCGGGCCTCGCCATGGTGAGTGAGGTCGAGGGGGCTGAAGTGGGTGCCCTGAGGCGGGCACGGCGGGGCAGGACCCCTGAGAGGGCGAGCGGACCGGGAGTGGGGGCGTCCGGGCCCCAGCGGGAGCCTCGGGACCCTCCGTGCACTTCTGCCGGGGGCGTTGGATCCCGGAGCAGAGCGTCTGATTCCCAAAAGGCTTCCAGAAGCGACTTTAGCACCGAATGGGGTGTTTAGATTTCCATTGGCTATCTGAGCCCCCAAAGGGGGCATTTGAACCCGGGATGGAAGCGTCTGGATTCCCAAAAGAGACTTTTGGACCTCAGAAAAGAATTTTTTTTACCCAGGATGGGGAGTTTGGTCTCAGAATTGGAGTGTTTGAACCCCAGAGGGATGAAATAAGAAAAATGGGCCGGGGAGGGGAACTATTTGGGCCCTGATGGAGGCTTTGGGTCCTGAGAGGATGCAGGGAAGGGGGAACGGAGACGGCTGCGCTGCTCCTGCAGGGGTGCCGGCGGGTAGCTGGGCCTGGGGGCAGCGGAGAGGGTCAGGGATGGGCAGCCACTTCTGCAGCTTAGACCCTTTGGGGGCTGGTCTACAAAGACCGGCATTGCAGAGGAGAAGGAGGGCGAGGTGCAGGCTTAGGGGTGGGTGGCAGCAGAGAAGATGCTCTCGAAGCCTCTGACCTCTCAGGACTGAGAAGGATCGGGGTCGTGGGGGTGGTTAAAAGGGGTTAGCAAGACTGGTGCTCGTCAGTAGTCTTGCAAAGGCAAAGAGGGGGCCTCGTGATTAATTTGAGGGGTAGCTGGAAAAGGTTCTGAGGTTACTAATGGGTTAATACTTGAACTAGGAAGAGAGAATTTTTTGATGGGTTGGGGAGGAGTGTTGTGTTTGGGTCCAGGAGAAGATGGGTTTCAAGGTGAGGGATGGGAAAGGACTTTGGTTCGGATGGTGGGAGGTGAGGTTGAAGGAGAAAATGAATGGCAGCCAAGGTGGGCCTGGGTTTGGAGGTGGATGTGGGTAGCTCTCTAGCAGCCTCCAGGGCAAGGCGAGGACAAAGACTGCTCAGTCTGGATTGGGAGTGGACTGCAGAGGCCAGAGGGAATGGTTAGACAGTCCCCCTTCCCAGGAATAATGGGGTTGGGTGCAAGGCACCAGGGCAGTGGGAGCAGGTGGGCGGAGTTGTTCAGGCCCCTATTGCGCACTGAAGCTGCATGAAATGGGGGTGGGGGATCAAAGTTTGGGGCGCATCAGATGAGCCAGCTCTTTTAAGCCTAGAAGGCTCACCCCCTCTCTGCCCCTTTCAGGCCAAGAGAGCTGCCTTTTCCAAACAGGGGTGCTGGTTTTCTCATGATCTCCAGCCCCACGCACCATTCTGCATCTCCTCACTCGTGCCAAATGACAGTGCAGTGCAGTGTGGCGTCAGTGACAATCGGATGCCTATTCCCTTGCCCTCGGGGTGGGGGCTGCAGAGCTTGATCAGAGAGGGCCTTTGGGGAGACCCCTTCGTCAGCCTGAGGGCCACTTGTCCCATTCAGGGCCCTCACTGGGTGCTTCTGTTAATTCACACAGCTAGGGCTTTGAGAGAAAACCAGCAGACTAGTTCTTTCCTATTCTCTGCCACCCACAACACCCACAGCCCCCCCAGGCTCAGCCTGGGAACCGTGCGCAGCCATCCTCCCTGGCAAGGCTGGGGAGAACAGGCAGCCGCTGCTGTGTATCAGATCTCATACTTGCTGACACAGACCTGATGGCTCCTCTTGCCGCTACCCCGTTTTCCCCCAGCAGAAGCTTGCTGGAGGGGCCCTGAAGCACTAGCAGGTGCCAGCAGTTCCCCCCACCTCCAGAATGGGGCCCCAGCTTTGCCCTAACTAGTTTCTCTCTCCGTTTGTAATCAGCAAGGTATGGGTGGGACAAGTCACTGTTAACTGGCCTTGGACTTTGGCCTGAGCTCTGTGGCTCCTCCTTGGCCCGGGTGAGGGGCCCTGGCCTTGGTTTCTGATCTCATCTAACACTGCTCTCTGGCATTGGCTGGGGGCTGGGGCAAGGCGGAGAAATAATACCCTCTTACCCTCCCCCACCCCAAGCTTTTTTTTCTTGTCCAGCCCCTTGCTAGAGGCTAAGATGAGGGATAAGAAAGCAGGAGACCAGCTGGGTTATTTTGGAGACAGTTTTTGATGAAAGCTTACAATCGGGGAAGGAAAGAAGCCCTGAGAAGGGGTCCCAGCAATCCGTAATCACTTCTCAGGTGATGTTTTCTGGGCAGCAACCGTGCTTTGAGATCTGTAGCTCAGAGCTGGGATGTTTCCTTGACCAAGCAGGGGAGTGGGTCTCCTAAATGGGAACGAGAGTGTGTGACAGGCCCTTTATGCAGAGCCACGCCTATTTGCAGCAACCCTGTGACAACCAAATGTGGCAGTACCTCATCTGCGTCTTCCAGCTTTTTGGTGGGGAATGGCAAACACCAGCCTCCAGAGCCACTCGTGGGCATTCTGCAACCTGCCCCAGCCTCCTTGCCCCCCACCCCTCACGGTGCTGCCCAAAGGTGGGGGAGCACTGGGCTTCTTGCAGAGCAGTGTGGTGGGGTGGGAATTCCCTGATCGGGCTCGCTTTTCCATTCTAGGCCAGGGGGAGAGAGTGAAAAGCAGATGGAGTGGCAGGCCTCCTCCCCGGGCTGCTCCTGTCCTCTGTTCTTCCTCTTCCCCTCCCCCGTCGTTGCCTGGCTTCGGTAACCAGAAGCCCATCCTCTCTTCTCACTTTCCCCAAGTGGCTTCCTCAGGTGTCAGGACCTAGGCGATGGCCCCAGGCTTCTTTGCCTTTAGAAACCAAGAGGGGTAGATGGGGCCAGGGGCTCGTGGGCCTGGGGCTGCCGCGTTGGCATTTAGGAGCCCAACAACCTGGTCTTTTTTGAAGGCAATGCACAAGAGTCTTCGTTTGGCCTCCTGACCATCCCTTTAGACTTTGGACTTTTCCAGAATATGGATGTGTGACGTTTTTCCTTCTCTACCTTCCTTTTCCCCCATCCCTCAGCCATCTCCCTTCTGTCATCACTTTGGTTTCCCCTCCCATTCTGTCTATTTGGGGGGTGGCCTCAAGTTCCTCTTCCCTTAGATTTAAAAAAAATTTTTTTTTAGATCAGCGGTTCCTAATATTTGGGACGGGGGTGGGGGTGGGGGAAGCAGGCAGTGGTTGGTTCCTAGCTTCTAGAACCTCTATGTAGAATAATGCAAATACGCACGATAGTTTGCATCAGTTTCTGTGGCTCTCAGACTCAGGACTAGAACCCCACTGTGGACTTGGAGCCCCTTTCCCCTAATTGGGAAAGGAAGGAAAGGAAGGGGAACAGTCATCTGGACCCAAAGTGGTCCAAGGATGGTGGCACCTTCTTGGCAGCATTCACAAAAACCAAGGAAAATTTGTCTTTTGGCTCCCTAAAGCTAAACGTTGGGATTCAGGCCCCCATCTAGCTCCTGCCCCGTGGGATCTCTGTATCTGGCTGCTTCCCAGCACACCAGTGCGGGAGAAGCCAGTCCCTGCATTTCCTGTCCCCCACCCCCAAACCCCGCATGCAGCAAGGGCTGCCTGCCACCAACTGGCCAGTCCCCAGAGTGGCCAGGCTGGAAGGGGTTAAAAACTGCAGCGCAAACAGACTTCAGTCCTTTGCCACCACTGCTGCTGCATGCTGCAATCATCTCCCTGACATTTGTCCCTCCTGCCCAAAAGAAACAGAACAGAATGGTGCCCTGTGCACAAGGCGGATAAAGCGCTGCCTCCAGCCCCACCAGGTTCTTTCAGGCACTTGGAGCAACTCAGAGCTACCAGTCAGAATTTTTGCCACCTGGGTCCACTCTGCCTGGGCCTAGTGCCTCCAAATAGGTGACACAGAAACTAGCAAAGATAGCCCCAGCCATCGTTCCTCTGCCCTACCCAAGGACTGGCCTGTTTCAGTTCGGAGCCTTCTAGAGCTGCTTGATTAGGCCTCCAGGGCAACCGCTCCCTTCACACAGCCTCTGAGGCTCCCGGCAGCAAGGCACGAACTGTGCTGTGCCACGCAGCGCAGCTGGTTTGGGGCCGGGGCCGGCATTTTTTCCCCACCCCTGTGGCTCCGGCACACTGGGTCGAGATTGGAAGCCCAGGGGTGTAGGCAGCTTAATCGAGCCCTGCATCCGGTAGGCCTGGGTGTCCAGGCCACCCACCCCAGTCCCAGCTTGCTTCATCATCAGGCCCCGATTCTGCCTCAGACCCTGACTCTGGCGGGCACCTCCCTTGCCCAGTGGGAATGCCGGGTGGAACTGGCCTCACCAGAGCGTGCTGGGCTGAGTAAGGAAGGTACATCCGTGGTAGCCGACTGGCCTGGCGACTGACTTTCTCCTTCTTGCTTTTCCAGGCTGACCAGCTGACTGAGGAGCAGATCGCAGGTGAGTTTTACTGTCGTCCCCTCATCTCGCCCCCGGAAAGCTCTGTGTCCCCAGCCACATCTTATCCACCCAGGAGTAACATCTGAAGGATGAACATGTGTGTCCCCTATATCACCTAGTGCTATACTTCGTGCCCAGAATGTAAGAGCACACCAGTGCCTCCATGACACCTAGCCCTGTGGTCCCGAGACGGATCTTTGCCAGGCGGCAAGACAAAGGCTGTGTTCCTCTTCCGGCCCTGGGTCATCTAGGGGCTTTGGTACCAGTGGCTGCAGGAGGACCCCAGCTCGCTTTCCCAGCTCACGCCAGATAGGCTTAGAAGATGCACCCTCTGCCTCCCTGTGGGCCCACAGAGCTCCTGTCCCACTTTAGGAGCCGCCCAGGAGATGGCTCGTCACTCCCACCTCTGCACTTCCTCCGCACGTGCCCGCACTTGCCTTTTCCCCTGCCAGAAATGCTGCTCTCCTAGCTCCCTGCACGGGCAGCGCCTTCTCACCCTTTGGGTCTCAGCTCAAACGTCACCTTGGAGAAGTCTTCCCAAACCCCACCTCTCAAGTAGACAACCTTCCTTAACTGTCAGCCCATCACTCTTTATTTCCTTCATAGCCTTTCTCACTACCTGAAATTTTTTTTTTTATGTCTTTACCTGTTACATTTCCTGTCAGTAGGAGTGAGTTTCATGCGTTTGGGACTTGATTTTGTTGGTCTCTGCTGTATCCTCAGTACCTAGAACATAGTAGGTGCTCCATACAATTTTTCCTGGCTAAACAAATGAATAAACAATCATGTGTCTCTCAATAAGCTAAAAGAAACCCCTGGGTGCCACGTAATGTATTTTGTAGCTCCCTGAACCGCCAGAAGGGTCAGGCTCAGAAACTACTATGTGATTCTTTCCATGTCCCCCTCTTCCCCACACTGAGCTGCCTGAGGGCAGGGACCAGCTCTCGGTCTCTCTCCTTAGCTGTGGGCCAGCACAAAGTAGACATGGGGGAAGATGCTGAGAATGGGCCCCTGGCCCACCAGCTAGCCGAACCCCAGCTTTGCTCACAGGTTCAACTAGCTATGTGACAGGTACTGAATGCCCAGCTTCTGAAGTGGGAGGAGGCACGAATGGACTTGCCTTCTTTTTTTTATTTCTGCCCCCACCCCCTAACACACAGAGTCACACCTGCAGCTTCAAAATTTTGGCCCCTGGCAGCTATGGCGACCGGCTGAGGAAAGGCAGAGGACTGCCTTGTTCAGTGTCCAGGGAGCTCAGGGTGCCCACACGACCCACCCCCCTGCCCTCCCCAGGAACAACACGCCTCAGCACAGAGAGCTGCCAGCATCCCCAAGGAGACTCTTACCATTTTCCCAGGGCCTGGAGGTTCAGGGTCCCAGCTGCCCAGCCGTGTGTATGCCACCCCACCCGCCACCGTCACCTCAGCTCTCTGCCCTTGTGTAACACACACACACACACACACACACACACACACACTCACACACACTCTGCTTTTCACCTTGTCCCCATTAGCAGAGTGTCCACCACCTCGCCGTGGCCCACACCCTCTGGGAATAGGCTGCCAGGCATCTGTTCTTTGAGGTTTGGGGGCAGGGGAGCACAGGTGCCAAAACGGGTCCAGTGGGAGGGCAGCAGCCACGTGCTTCCCTCCCCGCTCAGCAAACAGCATCTCCCCGCTCCTGATGCGTCCCCAGCTGTGGCCTTCCCACTCAGCACCACTAGCTCCTCATCCTCCTGGCTTGGCAGCCGTCCCCTCACCTCCCATCCCCCGACCCGCCCCACGCACCGTCCGTCAGCCGGGCTCCGCTGACCACCCCCATGCTTCACCACACACAGTGGCTCAGCTCCTCTGGAAGTGGGTAGCGCCCACCGCAGGGGACAGGGTTGGCAGTCCCAGTCAGAAGGGATCTGATGCCCACGTTTCCTCTTCAGCCCAGCCAAAGGCGTCCCACAGCCTCCCCTCCCTTTCTCCCCCACCCTTCCCTTCCCAGCCAGTTGACCTTGGCTAGCGTACTTCAAATGAAGAATTCTCTTAGCTCTCAACCACTCCATAACTTTGGTCCATTTCATTATTTGAGGGAGAAGCCAAAGCCAGGGACCAAAAAAAAGTGTAGAATCATCTAGTGACAGCTGTCAGCCCATTTGCCCCACAGTCCTCACTGAGCTGGGACGGCTGAACGGAGAGCTTTGCCCAGCACAGCATAGACGTTCGATAACTGTTGAACGAAAGGAGGAAGGGGTCTGCCCTGAGCGCTGAGAGAGGGTTGGGCAGGACTTAAAGTCTGTCCCAGTTTCTTTAGGTGGGACCGACTCCCTTGGCCCTCCTCCAGGGAGGAGTCCAGCATCCGGAGGGAAGGATTTTTCCATGGGCCTCTTGACCCCTGACTCAGTCCCCTTCTTCCCCCAGAGTTCAAGGAGGCCTTCTCCCTCTTCGACAAGGATGGAGATGGCACTATCACCACCAAGGAGTTGGGGACAGTGATGAGATCCCTGGGACAGAACCCCACTGAAGCAGAGCTGCAGGACATGATCAATGAGGTGGATGCAGATGGTGAGTCCCCAGGGAGTGTGTGGGCAGCCTTGCTCCTGGTCACCCCGAGTGACCGCGGGGAGCCTCCCTCAGGGTGATGGATAAGCCAGTATCTCCTCTGCTGGGGCTCTGGGGTCATCTCCCAGGGCCCAGGTCAAGAGCATTCCCCCCTCCTTTCCCCCCTTTCCAGGGAACGGGACCATTGACTTCCCGGAGTTCCTGACCATGATGGCCAGAAAGATGAAGGACACAGACAGTGAGGAGGAGATCCGAGAGGCGTTCCGTGTCTTTGACAAGGTAAGCCGTCCTTTCCAGGGACAGCTCTGACACTGATGCCAGCCTTCAGGCAGATGGACTAGAACTGGAGCCACTGAGCCACCACTCCAGGGAGGCCTGGGTCCCAGCGCTAGCCCCACCGCTAACCTCTGCCACCTCACACAGCCCCCTTCACTCTGCTCACTGCCAAGTGAGGGTGGTGACGGTCCCTCTTGCTGCCCCTCTCCCACCGGGAGAAGCGCCTGATGAAAGCCTTTGTCCCCACTCCCCAGGACGGGAATGGCTACATCAGCGCTGCAGAGCTGCGTCACGTGATGACGAACCTGGGGGAGAAGCTGACCGACGAGGAGGTGGATGAGATGATCAGAGAGGCTGACATCGACGGAGACGGCCAGGTCAATTATGAAGGTGAGTCAGCGCGAGGCTGTCTCTGGGGCAAGCAGAGTCGCGGCTTCAGCAGCAAGCCCCCGGGTCCCTCATGTCAGAGTGCTGCTGGCCGCTCGGCCTGCTCACCTGACTCCGTCTCTCTCTGTTTCACTTCACAGAGTTTGTGCAGATGATGACTGCAAAGTGAAGGCCCCTGGGCAGCTGGTGATGCCCGTTCTCTTGATCTCTCTCTTCTCGCGCGCGCACTCTCTCTTCAACACTCCCTTGCGTACCCCGGTTCTAGCAAACACCAACTGATTGACTGAGAATCTGATAAAGCAACAAAAGATTTGTCCCAAGCTGCATGATTGCTCTTTCTCCTTCTTCCTGAGTCTCCCTCCACGCCCCATCTCCTTTCGCCCTCCCCTCTGCCATTCACGTCTTTCGAGGCCTGATGCATTCATAAGATGAATCCCTCCCCAGTTCCCTTAGGGGAGCCTCTGCCCTCCTCTAGCCCGGGTGGCTCTCCTCCGTTTCGGTTTGTTCCCTTTTGTTTGTCATCTTATTTTGGGTGCTGGGGTGGCTGCCAGCCCTGTCCCGGGACCTGCTGGGGAGGGAAGCGAGGCCCTCGCCCAGGCAGAAGAGCATGCCCTTCGCCGTTGCATGCAGCCAGCCCTGTGATTCTGTGTGCAGCTCCCAGCAGCCTTTTGGGGCAGGGGTGCCGAGAGAGGCATTCCAGAAGGACTGAAGGGGCAACGAGGAATCGTGGCATTGACCAGATGTGGCCCAGGAGGGGGTTGAGGGGCAAGGGGGTCCTGGAAGCTGGCATTCTTTTACTACTCGAGGGGGCCGACTCACAGAAGGGGACTGACAGAGTGGGCAACACTCAGATCCCACTGGCCGCTGTTCTGGAACCATCGGATTGGCTTTCTGAGGTTTGGCTGGGTGGGGGACTGCCCATTTGGCCACTCTGCAAATTGTACTTGCCCACGTTCCTGAAGCAATCTCGAGCTGTTCTGTAAATACCTGGTGCTAACATCCCTTGCCGCTCCCTCCTCTTGACGCACCCGCCCACCCCGCCCCACCCGCCCGAGGGCCCGTCCTAGGAACGGATGTGGGGATGGTCGCTTTGTAATGTGCTGGTTACCCTTTTTTTTCCTTTATGGCCCTTAAAATTCTGATTTTGTTCTACGCCATGCTGGGCTGGCTGAAGGGTGGGGAGAGGGAAGATGGGCCCCACCGTGCTCTCAAGAGAACATACCTGCAATAAAACAATCTCGTCGGCCAGCCGCCTAGAGGACGGCAGCTGAGGGCAGCCTCTGCTTCCTGGTCAGCCGGCACCTCCCGCTTCTCCGTGGTGACTTGGCGCCGCTTCCTCACATCTGTGCTCTGTGCCCGCCTCTCCCCTTGCCCGCCTGCCTGCCCCCACGTTCCCCAGCGGAGAGCATGATCCGTGCCCTTGCTTCTGACTTTCGCCTCTGGGACAAGTAAGTCAATGTGGGCAGTTCGGTCGTTCTGGGTTGTGGTTTTCCCTTTTCTGATCATTTCTTCTGGTCCCCTCCACTCCCACCCCACACTGCCCAGGTTGATCAAGTGGCTTTTCCTGGGACCTGCCCAGCTTTGAGAATCTGTTCTCCTCCACCCTCTGGCACCCAGCCTCCGAGGGAGGGAGGGACGGGGCATGATGGGAGACCCAGCCGAGAGCTGAGGGTAAGGGCAGGTAGGCGTGAGGCTGTGGACACTTTCGGAATGTTTTGGTTTTGTTTTTTTTTTAAACCGGGCAATATTGTGTTCAGTTCAAGCTGTGAAGAAAAATATATATCAATGTTTTCCAATAAAATACAGTGACTACCTGATCGGCTCCTGCCCTCTTATCTCAGTGTCTGGGCCTGCTGTGGAAGAGCCCTGCCTCCATGCTGGCTCCAAAGTGTCCAGTCAGCGCGGCAGAGCGGGCACCTCTGGATCAGAGTTCTGATCCCGGCTAGACTGCAGGGTCACCAAGGGCAGGACGCTGTCCCGGGTACATCAGTCACAAACAGACTGCAAGGCGAGAACTGAGAGGCAGACCCGTCACGCCACGGGAGCACAAAGAAGGGTCCAGTCCAGCTCAGCCCAGTCAGGTGGCAGGATTGAACTGAGACCCAAAAGACGGGCAGTCGCCTATCTGTAAGGGAGGGAAGGGTGTTCCAGTCAGAGGGAACAGCATATGTAGAAGCCCTGAGGCAGGAAAAACTATAAGAAAGCCAGTGAAGCTGGCGAGTACCTGGAGTGGCATGGGGCCAGGTGAGGCATAGAGAGGAAGGTGAGGCACACCTGCAGTGAGCGCAACTGGGTGCCTTGGGGAAGGGGTGGCATTCACCAAGTGTGGGTATGCAATGGTGAGGAAATAGGTATGGTCCTGGGCCCACAGGGCGTGGCACTCAGTTTGACACAAAAAGCCCAAAACAACTGCAAACTACAGAAAGCTCATTGACTGCCTTGTGGGGAGTGCAGTGAAGAAGCGAGGCCTCCCACTGCTGGGGGCTACAGTGGAGGGAGGTACCAGAATTCTCGGGCTTTTCCCAAAACACGTGTGTTCCCTCCTACCCCCAACACTAGAAATCCCACGTCCTTCTCCCTCAGGGGAATGGAGAATAAAAGGTGGATAAACATTGTCTTTAACTTCTGAGCTTCTCACACAACCATAGGAGCTGGGCAGGAGTGGACCAGAGAAGAAATCAGTAGAATAAAAAGAAGTCCTTGCACTCATCTTCGCCTGGCCTTGGAAGGCTGGAGAAGCCTGGCAGGGCAGGGCAGGGCCCCTGTTGCGGCAGAGAGGTGAGGCCCCTACTGGGCCTTGCTGCTGTGTGCCAGTCACTGGAGCCGGCGCTGCAGGGGGAGAACTTGGGATTGGCAAACCATTTTTCCAGAGCCCCGGCTTCTGTACCCGCTTTTCCTGCCACCCGGCGCGGTTTGGCATTTGGCGCAATAAAGATGGCAGAGTGTATAGCGCGTGAGAACTCGGGGCCTGGGCCCAGCTACCCGCCTGAGCATCCTGGCTTCTGCACTTACTGCCTCACAGCCTTGGGCAGACGCCTTACCGCCTCCGGACCTCAGTGACCCTGCCGATGAAATGGGGCATAACAGTACCCGCCTCCTGGGCTGGGCTGACGGTTGGGTGTGAGACAGCAGGAACGAGGCCCGATGTGCTCACTGAGTGCTTGCAGGCATCAGCCGTCCTTGGCTGGGCGCTTCCCGCTTCGCAGGCTGCCTCCTAGGCTCCGCATCCACCATCTCACCGAAGCCTGAAAGCAGCGCTCTGGCCTGGGTACTGGTCCTCCCCTACTCGCTGACTGGGAAACGAAGGCCCAGCGGGGCGAAGTCGCTACTCCAGGGTTATAAAGTAAGAAGCGAGTGGCAAAGCTGGAATCGGAACCAGATCTGACCCTAAGTCTAAGCTTTGAACTGCTGGGCTTTAGAGTCAAGAGGGAGTCTTGAAAAAATACTTCAGGCAGGCCAGAGACAGCCAGTGGGGAGGCGAGGCTGAGGCTGGGGTGGGGTCTGAGATGGGAATTACCCACTTAGCAGCCAAGATACCTGTGGAAAATTCTGGTCTAGTATCTCTCCGACAGGCTTTGGTGTCCCACAGATTGGGGCTCAAATCCCAGTTTGACTACTCACTGGAGTGAGCCTTGGCACTCTGCTAAGCCTCAGGGGCCACCTCTGAGTGTGTGACCCGTAAAAGGAAGATCCGAAAAATACCCACCTCGGTGGGTTATGCCAAGCTCTTTATAGACGTTACGGCGTTTAATTCGCACCCAGGCCGGGTGGAGTCATGCTAAAATTCAGTCCCTACTAATGGTGTCTTCCTCTGCCCTGGGCATGTGGGCAGGGGAGAAGTTCGGAAAAGAGTGGGCGCCGGCCGGTGGGGCTCCACTTCTTGGAAGTGGCTCAGCTGGGTCCCAAACGCCCACGCTTTCACCCCCCGCGTCCCGTTGCCTGCTCTCAGCTGCCTGCCATTAGTGTCCCCCTCGGGCCCTGTGTTTTGGAGACTCTTACTCTCAGGCAGGCTACATTATCAAATAATCATGACTTCCCTCTCCCATTCTTCATTAATCAAAGACATAGATGGCACTGAGCTTCCGATGCCCCTGGGTGAGCACCGAGGGCAGCCGGCTCCAGCCCAAAGCAGAGGACTGTTGGATCGGGAAGCATCACAAGTCTGCTAGACCAGCTCAAAACCTGTCCTGAGGAAGCGACTAGACAAGGGGGCTACACCAAGGGTGCCCTGCCAGGGCCGGGTTGAGGGCTCCCCAGGTCCTCTTCACTTAACAGAGGTGGCTCTGGGCCCCTTCTAAGTGTCACTCCCAGTGTGACCAGCAGGTGGGGCACTGACCACAGAAGAGCTGCCTCTCCGGGACCAGCCGTGGTGTGTGGGTGTTTCACTGTGGGTCAGGCCTAGTGCTGGGAAAATGGAAATGAATAAAGAAATGAATTTTAAAACGAATAAAGTCTCCTTGAGGGAGACAGACCCATTCTCAGCGTGTGGTTTCCTGAGTCCCGCCCCAGACTAGGGCAGGCGCCCAGTACTAGTATGGCTGGCCCTTTGTAGCCACGGGTTCCAACCAGCCTCAGATCGAAAATATTCTAAATAAATAAATATAAAAATCATGCAACAGGCCGGGCGCACTGGCTCATGCCTGTAATTCTAGCACTTTGGGAGGCCGAGGCAGAAGGATCGCATGAGGACAGGAGTTCCAGACCAGCCTGAGCAAGAGCAAGACCCCGTCTCTACAAAAAATAGAAAGAGTAGCCAAGCATGGTGGCGTGTGCCTGTAGTCCCAGCTGCTCGGGAGGCTGAGGCAGAAGGATGGCTTGAGCCCAGGAGTTTGAGGTTCCAGGGAGCTATGATGATGCCACGGCACTCTGACCCAGGCAACAAAGAGAGACCCTCTCTCAACAAATAAAGTATACAGGAGAATGTGAATAGGTCATATGTAAATACTTAGACATTTTATACAAGGGACATGAGCATTTGCAGATTTGGGTATCTGAGGGGAATCCTGGCACCAATACTGAAGGACAACCGGGTATGTTCCCGCGGATCTTTGCACTGCGCCGCTCACTACGTAGCACAGCTCGTAATTTTGTATCTTAGCTGCTTATTATAACACGTTTATGTGATCATTCAATTGTCGCCCCACTGGATGGTGAGCAAGGTAGGGCCAACGCTGTGTCAGTCACGGCCACATCCCCAGGGGCCCAGCCGCAGCCTCCGCCCAGAGAGGCTCCAGGGAAAGTGTGTTGAATTAATGAAGGAGGCCAGAGATGGGAGGTGCCAGGACGCCAGAGTCGAGACCGTTGGCACAACAGAAACCTCAGGCCCTGCTCAGCCATTCCCTCCGCCCAGAAACCCTCCTCCCAACCCTACGCATTTTGGGGACAGGACTGTCTCCCCCCTCTGTGAACTGAGAGTCCCAGGAGGCCAGGGCCAGGGCCGTCTCTGTCACTGCCTTGTCCCCAGCATCACAGGGACAAGCCCTGACGTACAGAAAGCCCTCAGCAAGACCCTGCGGAATGGGAGAGCAGACACATCTGCGCCGTGACAGGCTGCAGCCAGTGCTGTCGCAGGGCAAAAGTGCTGAGAGCCCACCCAGGGAGGAGTGGCTAAGTCTTCTAGGAGGTGGGACAGTTTAAGGAGGATGTTGGAGGCAAGGGTGCTTTCGACCCATGAAGAAGGGAAAAAATTGTTGCAGGAAGAGTGATCGCCATAAGCACAGATGTGGGTGCCCAGAAGATGTGAAGCCTCTTTGGGGAAACCGCAGTGATAAGGCCGCGGCCTGCAGGGGAGCGGAGCTTGGGGCTGGCCCTCGGCTCCAGCCGGGGGAGCCCTTGGAGCTTTGCAAGCTGGGCAGTGACCGCCAGACAGCACTTTCAGAACAGGTCTGTGGCAGCTGGCACAGAGGATGAACTTGGGAGGTCAGAGGTCAGGATCCCTGCTAGAAGTTTCCAAATCATCCCCAAGGGGCTGTGGGTGGACGGAGTGGGTGTTGTCTGCAAACCCCTGGCCTGGTGGACGGAGGTGGGGGCGCCGCGGTGAACAGTGGGTAAGAGCCGGCAGAAAACCAACCTCCTCTGCGTGCTCTTCGCCTCCATGCCCACCCAAAACACGGGACCGGTGACGGCAGCCACCTCAGGTGAGGAGGCTGTGGGTCAGCGCCCAGCGAGCCCTGGCACGGTGAACCCTAGGAGGGCAAAGGGACAGAACCAACCCACCTTCAGGGTGACACTGACAGGAAACGAGCGCCCCCCATGCCCTTCCCAGCCCTCCCCTCCCCGGCCCTTGCCCATCCCTTCTTCACCATCCTCGCTTGGGAGGTCCCTGGTTCTGTGCCTTCTGAGGCCAGGCCAGGTTTGGTGACGAAGCCAGGACCCAATCTGATGTTTCCTGACCTGGTTTTTTATTTTTTACACAAGTGGACTTTTTTTATTATTAAATTCAACCAATATAGTATTACTCTGTCCAGACCGCTGTTTCTAAATATTTTCCCACAATTTTTTTCAGTACTCTATTTTTTTTAATAGTGGTAAGACATCCGTAACTTAAAAGTTTTCATTTTAACCATTTTAAAGTGACAGTCCCCTGGCAGCTGGTGCCTTCCCACTGCTGTGCGACCATCGCCACTGTCTGCTTCCAGAGCATTCATCATCCCAAAGGAAACTCCAAACCCAGGAACCCATCTCCTTGACCTGTTTTTAACTCTCCCAGACACCTCTTGTTCTTCTTGATTGTGATTTGAAACATAGTGACTGAAAAAACAAAGTCAACACAATGAAGCAAAGCATTGCTTTGTTTTTAAATCTTGTTTGCCCAGATAACAATAGCAACAACAACGATGGCAATAATGGTAACATTTCTTGTGGGCTTTATTCCAGGCTCTGTGCTAAATTGCTTTTGAGAGCAACTCACTTAATCCTGAAAGCAACCCTGTAAACTAAGTACTAGATTATGATCACAAGGAAAACAAGGTCCCCTGGAGATGGAAGCTAGACCTGCTCCCTCTGCTCTGCCCTCTTCTCACTGTGTGGCCCAGGCCGGGTGATTACCTCCTCTGGACCTTGATCCCAGCCTCAAGAGAAAGGATCTAATGGTAGGCTGATGCCAGGCATGGTGGCCCAGCTAGTTGGAAGGCTGAGGCAGGAGGATCACTTGAGCCCAGGAGTTCAAGTACAGCCTGGACAACATAGCAAGACCCTATCTTTAAATAAAAAATAATAAGCTGTCGTGTGGATGGAGTGAGAGGCGTGTGAGCTGCTGTTGTCTTTATGGGAGGCTCAGGCCTCGCCCACCCCAGTCATCCCCAGGTGTGGATTGATTGTTTTAACCCGGGGCGGGGGACGGGGTGGGGGGGGAGTGAGAACGGGGAACTGAGGCTGGCAGCGCAGGGGGCTGGAGGTTTCCCATTCACCCTCCCCCACCAAATGCCAACTCACTTCCATTATGCTAGTCAGCTCACCAGCCCCCGCTGAGTATTTGTTGAATGAATGAATGAATGAATGAATGAATGAAATCTTTGTGAGGGATCCAAGGACGCATGAGGTGAGGTCAGGCTCTGTAAGGAGGCCTGGGGACAGGTATAGGACTTGGGTCTGCATTCTGGGGCAGTCCCTGGGCTCTGCACACCCCACCCCTTCATCCCCCAGCTTCTCCATCTCTCTCCCCACCACCCGCACCCCACAGTTCATGTCTCAGGCCCACCAAGCTAGGCGCAGTGTCTCAGGCCCCTTTCGGACCAGGCACATGTCCTGCATTGTCACACACGACACTGCAGCTTCTGCCTCCCCTTGGGGTGCCGGGGCTCCCAAGTCTGACAGGGCTGGGCAGCGAGGGGAGGCGGGGAACTCTTCCAAGAATCGCTGGCTCTCGTGGGGCAGAGAGGGGTCGGTGGCTCTTAGAGTGGCTGCCCCTGGGAATCTGGGGTGGGCAGCTGGGCCCCCTTAATGGATGAGGAGAGGAGCCAACACCCCAACCGGAGGAGATCTGAGTACACAGAAGCCGCTGGGAACTTTTCCGCCTTCTAAATATTTAGACAGTGAGATGGATGGAGGCTCGAGGACCAGAGCAGGCCGGCCAGGCCACTGGTTATTTTGAGAGAACTATTCTTTCTGTGCTCCAGGATAAATGTTCCTTCCCTCTGTCCCTCACTCTCCTCCCCGAGCCCGCACAGAGGAGCGATAGCAGCTGACGACCCCCACAGTTCGGGGCCAAGGTTCTGGCATCTGCACCCATCAGCCGTGTCCCTGGTTTTCTGGCTCCTGTTCCCTGAAGACAGGGCTGGAGATCACAGGGTCAGCTTAGGATGTCAGCAGAGGGAGCAGGCGACAGTGGCCTCTGCTTTCGACGGCGTTCCCACGGTGCTGCTGCCGGTCCGCTGTGCAGGAGGCAAGGGTGCCGCCTGCCCCTCGCCCCAGGCTGACAAAGGCACCCAGCTCCCCTCCTTCCCCTCGTGGGCAGAGCGGTCCCTTGGGTCCCTCCTCCCCGAGGTGGGCTGGGAGAGGGAAGTGTGCGCGTCGCCTCGGGCGGGCCCAGGACACAGGCAGCAGAACCAGAGCTTGAGCTGCTGGAAGACGGCCTTGCGGAAGAGGATGAAGACCCAGGGGTCCAGGATGGGGTTGAAGGCATTGAAGCGGAAGGCCAGGAGGTCCCCCATCTCGCTGCTGTCGGGGCTGATGGCCTGGGTGAAGCCGCGGATCTGAGGGCGGGGCGGGGGTGTCAAGGAGCACCCTCGAGTCCTCTGCCCTCCCCCCACCCTGGCTCCCACTTGCTCACCAGCAGGGATGAGGAAGGGGTGGATGTCAGAGAGGGAGGAAATAAGATGAAAATCAAGCAGTGAACGCATCCGGGGAGCAGAGGGAAGGAAAGCCCCGGCAGAGGCCTAGAGGGAGAGAGATGGGGGTTGGGCATGTGGGTCTCCCCGCCCTTTGCAGCTGGGAGGACCCTCGGGCTCCCCAGGTCTTTGAGTCTGGCGCCTCTGGCCCCCTGACACCGCGGGCAGAGCTGTGGTTGCGCCTGTGCGTATTTGCCCGCAGCTTCCAGTCTCTGAGCCATCATAACCCCCGAAAAGGTTTAAGGACGCCCACAGCGAGCCCAGCCGCTTGCATTTTACAGAAAGAGAAACCGAGGCCCAGAATAAAGGTGGCACAACTAGGTGTCACGGACACTGGGTGGGAACCAGGGTCTGTGCTGCGCTGGTGGGGGAGGGGCAGGAGCCTGGCAGGAAATCGAGGCAAGGATGTGAGGGTGAGGCCCAGGCTGGGGAAGTGGGGAGCCCAGTGGGTGGGAGGTCAGACTCTGGAATCAGAGGGCCCAGGCTGGAGACCTGGCTTTTTGTGCCTTTCCTGCTAAATGCTTGTGGGATGGGTGCACATGGTCATTTTGAAGATTATCTGAGAAAGTATTTGTAAGCCACTAGGCATCTGCCGGCCTACAGCAAGTGCTCAGAGAACGGTGGGCCTTGTTGTCATTACAGGGGCAGGGGAAGGACGGGGAGCGCTTGAGTAGTGGGGGCTGGGGATGGTAAGCGGGGAGACCGGGGGTCAGGAGGAGTCAGTGGGGCAGAAGCAAACGGGGAAAGACTTGAGAAAGTCAGGAGGTTTTGAATGTGGACAAAGCCTCTGTCTGACCGCCTTGGAGTCTCAGCTTCCCCATCTGTGAAATGGGCACAACCCTCCTTCCCTCCCCTCCCGCCAGCTCCGGGTTGGGGGGGGGGACTCACCGTGAGAGGCAGGGAGCACACGGCCATGATGCCCGTCATGAGGGCCAGCAGAATCAGGTAGTCGACCTCGTCCTCGCCCGTCCGGGGGCCGGGCACCAGCGAGCCCTGGTGGCGCCTCTGCTGGCGGTACATGCGGCACAGGCTGAGGGTGACGGAGCCGTTGCAGAGGAAGATGGCGGCCACCAGCAGGGCCACGAGGCTGGCGTAGGCCAGCGAGAAGGCGCAGCCGCCGGGCTCGGCCGAGCGCAGGCGCACGAAGCACCAGCTGCCCGGGCAGTACTGCTGGTGCTGGCCCAGGCCCGCCAGGGGCAGCGCGCAGAAGAGCGCGCAGAAGGCGTAGATGGCGGGCAGCGCCCGGCGGGCGCAGCGCGGCGCGTCCAGCCGCGCGTACCGGTAGGGGTGGCTGAGCGCCAGGCAGCGCTCCACCGCCATGGCGCAGAGGATGAGCGTGGAGGCCAGGCCGAAGAAGGTCATGGCGAAGGCGAAGGCGCCGCACAGCGCGGGCCCGCCCCGCGCCAGGCCCAGCAGCGAGCTGTTGCGGGCGTAGGCCACGAACACGGCCGGGCTCAGGAAGCACGTGCCCAGCAGGTCTGTCGCCGCCAGCCCGGTGACCAGCACGGCGAAGGCCGACGGGCGGGAGCGCCGCCGCCGCGCGCCCAGGATGCCCAGCGCCAGCCCGTTGCCCGCCACGCCCGCCACGAACATCAGGGTGCTGGTGGCCGGTCCCACCGAGCCCCGCACGTAGGTGAGGTTCCGGCACGAGTCCGCCATCGCCGGCCTGGGCTGGACGGTCCCCAAGGGCGGCAGGCAGAGGTCGGGGCCAGCCGGGCCTTCCCCTGTGGCCGGCTCAGAGGCTGCCGGGCCGCCGTCCCTGTGGCCGCTGCGGTCACCTGGCCAGCCCCGGTTCTCTTCGTCTCCTCGTGTGTGCCTGCGTTTCTCTCCCGTCTGTCTCCTCCAGTCCCTCTCTGTCCCTCTGTCCCTCTCTGTCCCTCTCTCTCCTTCCCCTCGCTTAGTTCTTTCTGTCTCTATCTCTGTCTCTGTCCTTCCCTTTCTGGGCGTCCCTAGGTCATGCCTTCTCTCTCTGTCTCTTGCTGTCTCCCTGTCTCCGTCCCCTCCCTTGCCCTCCTCTTCCTCTCTCCCCCACCGCAGCCCTCTATCCGCCCTTCCCCGCACCTCGCTTTCCCAGGCCCTCCGCACCAGGAATTGCAGCCTCTCGGTCTCTGCCTCCCGTCTGCGGCTCCTCTCACCCCCTGGCTGCCTTGCTCCGTGTCTTGTGTCTTTCGCTGTGTGTCAGTCTCTTGTGTCAGCTTCTCCTTCCCTCCCTCCTTCCCTCCCTCCCTCTCTCCCTACTCATCTTGCCCGCTCACCCCACTTTTTCATTTCCTCTCTCTGCCCCGCCCTCCCTCCCCCAGCAATCTCCCGAGGTCCCCTGGGCTCCCTGCCGCCTTTCCTGGCTACTCCCTGTACCCCGCCCCAAGTAGTACATCCATCACCGCCTCTGCCCCTCTCCCCTCCCCTGCCCCTCCTCCCCTCCCTCCCCTCCCCCTGTCCTCTCTCAGCCTCCATCCCCGAGCCACCTGCCACCTCTCCACACACAGGTCCCTTCCTTTCTCTGGCCCAGGTGGAGATCCCTGAGTCACCATCACTCAGGTCTGGAGCCCACCAGGGGGGCCAAGAAGGACCCGAGGGGCACAAGTGACCAGTTTTGGAGGGGGTGACCATGGCCTGGGCTGTCTCAGGGTGGCCTCTGGTGTCTATTCTGGGCTCCAGGCCCCAGGCTCAGGACGTTGCCCAGGGATTGAGAAATGACCAGGAAATTCCTCCGTGATGCAGTGTTTTCCAGACACTGCTGAGATTCTGGTCCCTGGACACAATTCACTCCTTCCAGAAGGCTGAGGAAGGAGGTGGCCTATCCAGAGGAAAAAATGCCGTCTCTCCAGCCTGTCCTTGGGTTCCCAGCTACCCGGGCAGAGCCCTGAGAAGGGAGTGTGGAGGAGCGTATTTGGTGTCCACCTGAACGGGACAGGCCTGGGGGACTTCATGGCCCATAAGCACAAGGACACACCACCGCCCTCTTGCTTCTCAACACAGAACTCCCAGGCCCCAGGCCAAGCTCTGGTGACCTTGACCTCCAGGAATAATATTTAAGCCACAGAAAGCTGTCCAGGGCTCCAACATCACCGCCAAATCTCTCCCACCCTCCCCACACACACCCCCAGCCGTCCCTGCAGCCTCACGCCCGTGTGGCCAGCCCGTGTGTCCTGGCTGCCGGCACAGCGGTCATGGGCTCCCTTCCCACGGAGTCCATGGCGTCCCAGGCAGCCTCCCGGACCACTAGGACCAGAGGAGCCTCTCAGACAGCCCTTGTTTTTCGGGGAGACAAGTTAACAAAGTCAGGGGCTCGCGTCCATTTGACATAGGTGCCTGTTCCGATCCAACCACCTTTGGTCTTGTGTGACGGTCCTAGGCGAGGACAGGAAGCTGGTGTGCCTCAGTCTCCTCATCTGCAAACTGGGATAGCACATGCCGCACAGGCCTGGGGCCAGCCTTGGCCTGCGGCGCGTCCCAGAGTGCCCTTTGTAAGACGGAGAGAGCCTACAGATGCCTCATGCCCAGGGCCAGCGGGGCTGCTTCTGACCCGAGGACCGGACTGTGGGCAGCTGCCATCGTGCTGTCTGTGCCCCCCACTGTGACCACAGCCCCCTCGCCCCATCTCCTTATCACCCATGCCCAGCTGGCACCCAGCTTCCGGCAGGATGGGAGCCCCAGTTCCAGCCCCACAGGGGCTCCCCGAAGGGCCACACGGCCCCACTCTGGGGGTGCCTTGTGTGCAGGTCCCAGGCCTCCGGGCCCCAGGCAGCCCAGAGGGAACTCAGGAAGTTATATCATATTAATGAGGGATGACGCCTGGCTGTCTTGCGTCCTGTCTCGGCATCAGGGGAGTCACTGGGGGACACTAAAGTTCCCGGAGCCTCCCTCCCGCTGGCTTCCTGTCCCCACCAGGACCCGTCAGCAATCAGGAAGTCCCCTCTACTCCCATGCCTAGTGGGACCTTGGACTGGCCCCTGCCCCCTTCCAGGCCTCAGTTTCCCTGCCTATGCCTCTAGGGGCAGCGAGCCCTGGCAACCCCGGCATCAGTTCTTTGCTTCTGCAGCAGGAGCAGGCAGAGGTGGCAGGGACCGTGACGCACTCCTAATGAGGGCACTGAGGGTCCCTGAAGTCTGCGCCAATGCTGGATTCGCCTCGCTCCCCTTCCGGGGATACCAGGCCTCTTGCCCGGCTGTGGCTCCAGCCAGGGCCCACGGGCCAAGCCCACAACAGGGGCCGCAGGGGGTTCCGCTCCCGTCCAGGTGCCTTGGGGTGCGGGTTCAGCCAGCTGCACTGTGGGAGAGGTGGCTTCCCGGGGTGGGGGCGGGGGGAGAGCTATGGAAGGAACTGCCCTGGGAGGGTGAGTCAGCAGCTCTCGTCTCGCCAGCCACTGCTAGGAGCAGGACTTGGGCCTCCCCGGAGGGACCGCAGGATGGCGGGCAGAAGAGGGAGGACAGCCCAGAGACCACTGAGAATGGGGACTGACTCAAGGACACACAGCACCTAGGAGGGCACAGAGGTGGGGACCAGGAGAGGGTGGTGTGCTGGGGACTGGGGGTGCGTAAACTCGGTATTGTGAGTCTGTGCACGATTAGTGGGGCCAATGCGACTTACGTGAGCGTTTTTATCTGCGTGGCTATTGTGTGCGTGTGAGCTCGTGGGACTCCGTGTGTGTGCGTGTATTGTCTGCTGCCGTGTGTCGTGCGTGGATGTGACCGTGTGTTTGTATGTGGAGTGGGTGCCTAGTGCAGCGGAAAGAGAATGGGTTTTGTTTGTTTGTTTGTTTGTTTTGAGACGGGGACTCCGGCCCCCCCGGGCTGGAATACGGTGGTGCGGTCATAGCTCACTGCAACCTCAAACTCCTGGGCTCAAGCGATCTCCCTGCTCCGCCTCCTGAGCAGTTGGGACCACAGGAGCGTGTGCCACCACGCCCGGCTAATTTTTAAATTTTTTGTAGAGATGGGGTCTTGCTCTTGCCCAGGATGGTCTTGAACTCCTAGGAGGCCTCAAGTGATCCTCCTGCCTCGGCCTCCCAAAGTGCTGGGATTCCAGGAGTGCGCCACCACGCCGGGCCAAAAATGGGTTTTGAAGCTCATCTCCATTGCTTTACTGTGTGATCCTGGGAAAATGACTCACCCTAGCAAAGCTTCGATGTGCTTCTTCATCAAATGGCCGCCTTGACCTTGTCGTTGGGGTGTTGTGTGAAGATAAGAGACAGTTCCCCTTGCCTGCCTCCCGGGAAGCCCTCAAATAGCTGCTCGTGTTATTATTCATTCAACAAACCCCAACTGGCAGTTTACGGTGTGCCAAGAGCTGGGGACACAGAGGGGCTCAGAGGGCACCATCGGTGGAGGAGTGTTCTCAAATCGCTGCGTCCACCCAGTGTGCAGAGCCTGGACAGGTGGTCCTCAGCCGAATTATTCCACACCCTGCCAGGATTCCCATCTGGTGGGCGTCCTCAACAGGGCAATGCCAGGCAGCCCAGGAAATGAGGCCTCGCCCACACCCGCCAGCCAGTGCCTGCGGCTGCTGCCCAGCCCTGCATCTGGACGTGCCGCAGACCTGAGATCCTGGGTTGCCCTGGGCCCGACCCTGTCCAGATTCCCTGGTTTCCGTCCTGCTGGCACTGGCCCTGGGAGGAGGCCGGCCACATCTCGTGTTCCAGACACGCGACACCAGCTGCTCCCACCTGCAGTCCACCTGTGCCCTATCGCTGCAGCGAGAAGCTGCTGTGTCAGTCCAGACCTGTCCACCCTGGAAGGTCCCAGCACCTGTAGCCAGAGGCCATTTTTCTCTGCCCACTGCCCTCCCCCCGAAATGGGCCCTGCCTCCTACCTGTCACTGCGTCCCGCCCTGCTACCGGGGCTCCACCCAGCCTCCTGCCTGCTCTGCCTTTGCCTGGGCTGTGCCCCTCTCCTGGGGGTACCCTCGCTTCCCAGCCTTCACCCCCCCCCTGGCCACCCCCTGAACCTCTCCTCAACAGTCATCCATGGGTTCCTCCCACTCCCACCTCAAGCCCCAACTCGGAGGGCGACACCACCTCTCTGTGCCTGTTTTCTTTGTGTGTAAAGCGGGGACAAACAGTCGTGTGGGGGCTACTGTGAGCGTTAAGTGAAACGGGGCTTGCGAAAGGTTCCTTTGGTAAGTGACAGCCAAGAGCGTGGCTTGTCCTGGCTCTGGGCGTCCCATCCGCCAGCAGCCATGCCAGGCACTGCTCTGAGCCTTGGGTCGGGGTGCAGGGTGTGGTGTGCGGAAGGAAGGCAGCCTGGCACGGGGCAGCCGGAGCGCTCAGGCTGGGGGTGGGTGCAGAGAGGCATGGCTGGCAGCGAGCACTTCCCCCTGTGGCCACCTCTCCACCTCTTGGCCTGGCTCTGACCCCAGCCTGGGCCTAGCCCCAGAGTTGACTTCACCACGGCAGGGGGGTGGCAGGAAACAGCAGCTGGTGACAGAAGCTGGTGGCGCTGCGCGGTCGTCAGGCTAATAAGATTACTTGGGTCTGCGCTCCTGGAGGCTGGTCACCCAGGGGCCTGCCTTGTCCCTCTGCCCTGTCCCATCTGGCTTCTCCTTTCTCCCATCCTTGGTTTCCCACTCTCCCCCCACCGCCCTCCAGGCAGACAACTGCTCCTGGTCCCCTCTGCATCAGCCCTCCCTGCGCCCCACCCAGGTCCCATTCTGCCAGCCCCGCTTGCTCCTCCACAGTTTCTGTCCCCCAAGGGTAGCAAAGTGAAAGAGGAAGGGTTTGCACCGCACACCTCCGAGACTCCAGGGCTGGAAGGGTCTAAATCCCGACAGTCCGGGCTCGTTAAGTCCTTATACTTATGCGGTACTGAGCTCTGGAATCCTAGTCACATAGAGGGGCCAGGCCCCTCTGCAGGGTCGAAAGA